AGGGAGCCCGATGCGGGACTCGATCCAGGGACTCCAGGATCATGACCTGAGCCGAAGGCAGTCACTTAACCAACTGAGCCACCCAGGCGCCCTGCTTCTTGTTTTCTTACCAGAACAAACCATCAGGATAATGAATACCCAATGGCATTCGTATGTGTGGAAGAATGTGTGATATATATACATGTCTATGTGTCTAACATGAAATTGTGATTAAGTTGGCTAAGAATTGGCACTTGTCTTAAACTTTCCTTTTTAACATTTCCTACTGCAAAAGGTATCAGCTCCTTAAACACCTTCTTTCTTATTTGCACCAGGTACTTTATTTTTATATCTAGTGATGCATCTGAAATCCTAAAATGGTTTTAAAAAAGTGTACAGGGGCACCTGGGTGGCTCAGTCGGTTAACCATCCCACTCTTGATATGGGCTCAGGTCACAATCTCAGGGTCCTGGGATCGAGCCCCTCATCATGCTCCACACTCAGCGGGGAGTCGGCTTCTCTCCCTCTGCCCCTCCCCCAGCTCGGGTGTGTGCATCCGTGTTCTTTCTCTCTCAAATAAATAAAATCTTTTTAAAAAATGTGTATGTTTTCCAAAAGCAGTTTTCTTTCAAGAATCAAACTTGAAAATGAAGGAAGTGGCTTGAAGTGATATAAGGAGGTCACCTGGGAAAGCATGGCTGGAGTCCATCAGAGACTCCACACCACAGACCACCAGTGTATTTACAACACTGCCCAGGTTTGGGCCTCAAGTCTGTCACATCAAGGTACCAGAATTGACAGGACTTGGGAAGATGGATTCATTCTCATTAACTTAAAGGAGCTGGAGGCATATGAACAAGGATTCTAATCTACTAACATCTACAGAGAGACGTAACTCTTGAGGGACAAGAGATTCGAGTTGGCTTGACCAGTACACTCTCGTCATGGAGGCAAACTTTAGAGCACCTGAACTGGCACATCTCAAGGCAGTGGTGGGGCACAGGATCAGAGCAAGGGCAACCAGAGTGGGAGGGATAAAGCCAGACTCCTCAAGATCGATTTATGCATCTCGGCTCTCATCCCCATGAGCTCAACTCTGAGGGGGACCCAAGCTTTCAGGTTCTTCTGTGGTGAAGGAGGGATGTCTTGCTATTGCCCCATGGGTTACCCCCAAATGATATTAAAATCTTTAACCCTTATATTTAGAATTAAGTGATCAATAACTTCACAAAAATTACAAATCCGATTGGTAAATTATTGAAATTAAGCAAATCACTTTAACGTGCACTCTAACTCAGAGAGGGAAAAACTGTCTTTCATTGATAGTGATAAATATTCAGGATTATTCATTCCATTATGACGTTTTCTAACTCAGTTTCAGTAGGCAAAGAAAACATACTTGCCTTAGCCTGGTAATAATCAGAAGCATGTACTGAAGAGGAGATCACCATCTTAAATAGTTACCTATGTGCCAAAATATAAATTGAATGCTGAACTGGCTTTATAAATACTTGGTTAAGTAACTAAGAATAACCTCAGTACTTCCTTGCGAAGTCCATGGTGGGCAAGTCTTAATAGTAACGTGCAAACACAGAACTAATGAATGATCCTATTCTGTGGGCAACTAAATGATTACATTTATAAGGCCCCTCCTGAAAAAAGGTCTCTTAATAAAGTGGTGCCTGTAACAGTAGTATCCAATTAAATAGGTATGTCTTAGTTTTCAAATTAAAAAAAAAATCTAACTTGCATTATGTAGCCTTTGATGACCCAAGAAGAAAATATTTATTAGAAATAAGAATCACAGAGATGCCTGGCTGGCTCAGTCGGTAGAGTGTGTGACTCTTGATCTCCGGGTTGTGGGTTCAAGCCTCACGTTGGGTATAGAGACTACTTAAAAATAAAATCTTAAAAAAAAAAAAAAAAGTCCAGAACTGTTTTTTAGAGCTAGAAGAGATCTTAGAAATTATACAGTTCAGAGCAAGATATTTCATAACTGAAAAAGGAGAACACATCTAAGTTGAAAATAAAAGTCACAGGTTCTCATTTAAAGATAAGGAAACCAAAGGGTTAATATCTGACTAATGGCCAATAACCTACTCTTGTATCCCTCTTAATTACTGAGGTTTTATATTATTATAACTTCTATTTGTTTTTTTCTCACAATAGGATTTTCAAAAACTATATAAAATTATGATGGTAAAAGTTGGTGTTTTGTGATAATGCTAATGAGTATGCTTCTTGCGTTTCACCATTAAGTTTAATGTAGCTGTTAAGATGGAAGAAATGGAAAGTTTTACATTTATAGATCAGAGCTCGCAAAATAGACCCTCAGACTAAATCCCACCTTCTGTAGCTTGTTTTCATGGCCCAGAACCCAAGAATGATTTCTACCTTTTTAAATGCTTGGAAAAAATCTCATCAAAAGAATAATATTTCATGACACATGAAAATCATGACATTCAAATTTCAGCATCCATAAATAAAGTTTTGTTGGAACACAACCATGCTCATCCATTTACAAATCATTCTTGGCTGCTTTCACACTAAAACAGCAAAGTTAATTGTTTTAGACAAAGAATGGTCCACAAAGCCTAAAATATTTACTAACTGGTGCTCTACAGAAAAGTTTGCCAACCCATGATTTAAATAAAATATTCTCTATTCCTAATTTTTTTTTTCTTAAAGATTTTATTTATTTATTCATGAGAGACAGAGAGAGAGGCAGAGGGAGAAGCAGGCCCCAAGGAGCAGAGAGCCCGATGCGGGACTCGATCCCAGGACCCTGGGACCATGACCTGAGCCGAAGGCAGACGCCCAACGACTGAGCCACCCGGGTGCCCCTGGTCTGTTTTACTTTAACCACCGTGTAAGATTCTACTGCACGAATATACTATAATCCATTTCCCTCAGACACATAGGTTGTTCACAGGTTTGGCAATTGACCTTTTCTTCATATGTAACTACCAGTTTCCACCATCCATTCAGCGTTTACCAGCCACCCAGGATGTGCCAGGTCTTGCAGACAGAGTCGTAGAACTGGAAAGTGGGGCCTCCCTGGGGTGACAAGCGCTCTAACAGAGGCATGGAGGCAATGTGCTGGGGTGCAGAGGCCAGACACGGTTCACACACTTGACTGTGTTATATTGATCAATTTCCTCATTTTGAATTATCCTTGGATTCACGGTATAAATTCTCTTTAGTGAAGTGTGTGTCATTAGCAGCTTCACTGAGGTATGTTTTGTATACCATAAAATTCAATTAGATGCACAGAACTTTTTTTTTAAGTAAATTTACAGACTTGTGCAATCATCAATCCAATTATGCTAAGATTCCTTGTGCCCACCTATAATCCTTTTCTGTTGCCATCCCCAGCCCCAGGAAACCACTCACCTTCCTGTCTCTATAATTAGACTTTTCTGGACATCTCGTACAAATGGAATCATAGACTATGTGCTCCTTTGGACTCTTCCACATAGCAAGTATTTGTGGCACATAGCAGTAGTTCACTCCTTTTTACTGCTGGATAGTATTTCATTATGTGGATATACCACAACTCGTTTATTCTTTCCTCGGCTGATGGGCATTTAGGTTGTTTCCACTATTTGGTTATTATGAAAAATGTTATGATCATTGTATATGAGTTTATATGATGGATGCATGCTTTCATTCTCTTGGCTATATACCTTGGAATAGAACTGCTGGGCCATATGGTAATTCCATGTTTAACATTTTGACTAACTGCCTGTTTTCCCAAGTGGCTGCACCATTTTACATTCTCACCAGCAATGTATGAGGGCCCCAACTTATTTGCAACCTCCCCAACATGTGTTATGTCCATTTTTTAACTGGGTTATTTGTCTTCTTATTATTGAGTTGTAGGATTTTTTAATACATGCTGGATACAAGTCCTTTATCAGATATGATTTGTAAAATTTTCTCCCAGTCTATGACTTATTTGCCTTTTAATTTTAAAATGATGCCCTTTGAATTACAAAAGTTTTTAATTTTGATAAATTGTAATTTATCATTTTCTTTTGGGGGCTGTGGTTTTGGTGTTATACCTAAGAACTCTTTGCTTAGCCCTAGGTCACAAAGATTCTCTCCTATGTTTTCTTCTAAAAGCTCTGTTATGGCTAATTTGGGTATATATGTAAGGTAGGGGTCTAAATTCATCCTTTTGCAAAGACATCTAGTTGTTTCAGCACCTTTGTTGAAAAGACTATCTGTCCCCATTGAATTGACTTGGTGCGTGGATTGAAAACTAATGGCTCATGTATGTGAGTTTATTTCTGGACTTGCACTTCTGTTCCATTGATTATGCCTGTTCTTATGCAGTACCACACTGTCTTGATTACTCTAGCTTTGTAGTCAGTTTTGAAATTGAGAAGTGTGAGTCCTTCAACTCTGTTCTTCTTTTTCAAGGTGGTTTTAGCTATTCTGGGTCCTTTGCATTTCTGAAGCCTTCTGGGGTTTTGACTGGGATTGTGGTGAATTTATAGATCAGTCTGGGGAAAAATTGGTACTTTGCTACTTAAATGAAGAAAAAAAAAGAACAAGCAACTGTGTCATTGTGGTGCTGTTTATATGATAAAAACAACACTCAGGGGCGCCTGGGTGGCTCAGTCGTTAAGCGTCTGCCTTCGGCTCAGGTCATGAT